TCTTGAAACCTTAAATTTGTCTCTCGAAAGACAAATTTACGGTTTCAAGAAGGCAAAGACCTAAAAGAACGTTGATTTTTACCAATCATGAGTTTGTGTAAATTTTAAATCTGATGATGGCGCTGTTGTCTCGCCGAAACGTATTGACAACATTTTTACTTCACACTTTACTGAGACCCAGGAAGGATAAGAATATAATTTATTCCAAATGTCGTTCTAGACTTATTTCTGGTTTTCACGCGCATTTCAAGTGCGTTGAGAGAACCGCTTCTGTAGATGCTCATCACTCAAACTTGCACAATGTTGGGAATAGGGATGAAAGTCTTCAAGGAATGAGAAGAAAATTGAAAAAGTTCTAAAATTTGCCAACTGGGCAATTGATGTTTAGTAATAAATGGCTAGTTTTTCCCATAATATCCAATGCATTGGCTTGGGAGTGTTGATTGAGCAATAAACAGTGTTTTTTCGCATTTTGTGCGCTACGAGCACATTCGCCGTATCGTAATGGTGTAACGACGACATAAATAAGACGCTTAAGTGCAAACTGACTGTAAATCTCATAGAAACGGGCGCGTTTACGTCAGCGTTGTGCCTCGGGGTGGTTTATTGTCGAGATGAACCTCACGAACGCCACCTGGGAGAATTGCGGCCATTGAAAAACGAGTTCCTTCCCAAACTCTACACGCCATCCTCAGTTATTGCGACTGCACTAAAACCTGCCCCCATTCCACACGGGGAGCGTCGGTAAACAATCCTCTCAAACATAATTAATCTCCCTTAGCCCCTGTACGGTATGGCAGGAATTTCTCGCAATATATTGTGAAAATACCTTTCCCGGCGGCTAATTAAAGACAAAAAGTGACAGCGAGGTCCCTGGGCATAATTACGTTTTGAAGTAGGCACAGCGTTACGAATGCCGTCCAATTATTGCGAATTATGACGGCAGAAGGCCGAAGAAATTATTGCTGCTGCTGGCAATTAGTAAAAATTACTGAGGGTGGCCGAGGAAAATTCCATGCGCGCTTTTCAATAGGATGTTTACCCCAGCCGCTATCAGTATCAAGTGGCTTTCGCCGAAATTTCTCCTGCAGAACGATTTTTCATAGTGGTAACCACCCTCAATTCCCAGGGTAGAACATTGGGCCACGTGGCGCTTTATGGCCCCCTGTGCCACGTTGCCAAACCGATTGCCAGAGGTACTAGTAGAGGAGCAGTACTTCAGTCCGATGTAAAACGGCAAAGTGAAAAAACGAGATAACCAACTTCACTAATCACAGACGTGTCAGAACAATGACGTTGCTTGCTTGAGCGCCTTAATGTCTGTCCTTGTTCCTACACTGATGATTGAATGCCATCTGTCTCTGTCATCCTCAATTGATGGCGGGCATTTAATGTTTGATAGCCAGCTCTTAAGGGCCCTTAAGGCAAAGAGACAATAAAACCCTCTAGTGTGCCTGTAAGATTAATGCACTGCACGCTCAAGCCCGAGTCGTGGCTGTTCGTCTGAAAAACAATGACAGCTGCCACCATAAAACTATTCTTGCGGGTGATTTAAGCGCCTTCGCGGATTAAAAACCGTGCCAAAAGTTGCGTCCATATAACAAGTCCAATAAATTTCTATTAGCTTGCGCAATACTAAAAGGCCCCGGTAACAGGAAAACTCCATTAGGGTGGTCTGATGAAAAAATATTATCGGACGCGCTGGATTTCGCCGGGTTTCTTAATACAAATTCGTCGGGCTTATGTGGATTTTGCGTTGTGTTTTAGGGCCCCATTCAGATTCAGAAGTGATTTCAGTGCGTCGCCTTGGACCCCGCAGCATGGTTGCCAAGTGTTGGCAGCCAGTAGCTGTCAATCTGACATCTGTTAACTTATTGGTCGATTCAAACAATCCCATTTCTGCGTGTCGTCGTTAATCGAAAACGGAATAGAAAGATTCCGGGTAAAAATGGGATTTTCACCTTTCCAGCACGATTCCTGGAACTTATAACGATAAATCTCTAAGCGGGCCAGCAACATGCCCTTGAGTCGTTTATCACTCGCTCGTCCCTGTTCTCTCTTCACACACACACACGCGCCGTGCGCATTTTTTTCCTGTCCTGCAGGACATTTCAAGGTTCCTGCAAGTTTGTCCATGAAATCAGGCAAGTCTGGGCGAGCGTCCCCCAATCCCACAGGCACAAATAGGCATTTGCTCCATGAGTGGCTGGCCAAATGTGAAGATAGAAACAACCATAGATACAAACTGATGATGGTGGAGAAAAACACCGAAACGTTTTTGTGACATTTTAAATGGTAAACAATGAAATTGACTGGAACCCAGGAATTTGTTTGGAATTAAATTGTCTGCTATGGAAATTCAAAATTCGAGGCCCAGTTAAAAAGAGGCCCATTGAGGAAGTTTTTTCTTTATCGGCTCAATAACTGTCTGCCTTAATGGCGCGTGAAACAGGGCAGGGAATGCGGGCGCACAGTGGTGGTCGTGTTTTTTCCCATCTAGTTGTTTACATTTTTTTTATTAAAAAAAAATTAGGTGCGCCTATGGGATTATACTGTTTCGAAGCCCGTTGCCTAGGCGACGAAGAACAACCGGCATTCGCGAGTCCAAAAGTCCAGCTGCCCCCTGGGGGCTAAAATTATAACTGCAAGTGACGTAGTAATTTGACGGTTGTTGTGTTTGTGGTTACTTTTGCTGCGCTCTAATCAACTTTTGCAAGATTTTAAACAAATAGAAACAGATCGAAAAGTGCGTAAGTATCGTTTTATGTTTTAAATGTCGTCCACGTCAATAAATAAGCAAGTCTCAATTGTCACTCGCAGCGCCGAATGAGTGTGAAGCCACCCGGATCTATGCTACGAGGTGCGGTCAAAACTTGTAGTTGAAGCCTTCATGGATATATTTTTTTAATTTGGACTCGCGTGCGCCACTGAAGTTTCGGAGCGCAGCCCATGCGACTCCACTATGCAAAGGTTATATTGTGTTCTTAAAAAAATGCCCTTTCAACGGTCCTTTAAAGCGCTTCCTTCCACAGGGAATATTTAGGTAAAGTCCCTGTTGCTGTTCTCCTGGGCCACATTTGTAGGGAACGGTTTATGCGATCGCTTGTCTTTGCCCGGTGCGGCGCCGCCCCTGTCCTGGAGGCGGCAATTAAAACTTGGGCCAAAGAAACAGTTTCGGTGCCGCTTCTGTAATTTTCCTTCAAGGCAGCATTAACGGCGCTTTTATTATAAAAATCTGCAAATTTCCTTAATGCTAGTAGGTAGTTAAGTTAATCAGAAGTTTTCCTTTTCAACTGCCCGCCTGGGTCACTTTCAGCAGGAAATAGTTCAAAGGCGCACTTAATTAAATTTCATTGGCGTCCTTCTATGGAAAAAATCGGATCTTTACATGGATTTTAAGGAAGCTGTTCTGTGGTGTTCAGGGTTTAACCTAACAAAACAGACTAAATATTTACTTCCGAAAAAATGGCCTTTGTTTTGCTCATTTCTGAGGAAAAAGAAATCGCACTCGGGCAAGTTCGACCGATCGGTCGTCAAGCATCTTTATAGTCCAGGGGCAGCTGTTGAAAAATGAAGCTTAGCTCGATTAGAGTTTATGCGCAATCAAAGTCCCTAAACCTCCAACGTTTAATTCGGCCCATCTTCGTTTGATTCGACATTATGGAGTTGATTTACGCAAGTCATTAGCGGCTTAATTAACGCGATTTGTTGGATAAAGCGCCGATTACTTTTGGATCAACCTGCAGATGCGGGTGCGATTAGCGCGATCAAGGATAGGAACAAGGGCGGATCCAGAGGGGGGGTCATGGGGTCTTCCCCCCCCCATTCAATTCAAACAAAAAGGTCATTCATTTCTGTCTAGAATGATGTACAAATGAGCGTTCTTGCTCATTTTGCCTCCGAGATATGAGCAAAAATGGGAGGGAAAACATGAAATTTTGGCATAATCTTGCACCTAAGTGTCTGATATTCAACATTCTACATTCAATATTCTACATAGCCTGATCAACGGCCAGACACTGTCGAAGCGACGAATTATTTCATATTTACGCGGCGCTAAAGCAATTAAAGTCTTCGTTTGCAGGTACGGGAAAGTCTGTTTACGACGGCAACGTAATTAGATTTATTAAGTCTTCACATCTTCGCAGTTTATTAAACTCGATCGGGCTTCAAGCGGCCCCTCACCATCGCTGGTTGGAAAAATCACCGTTCCTCGCCCTAATGGAGTCGATCACAGTGTTTTATTTTGCAATCCCGGCTTAAGGGAGTCGCTTTAAGTGCCACGTCTTTCACAAGCAACTAAGAAACAGTGAAATGTGGCAACGCAAACTATCAATGCGAGTAAAAATGAAATCTCAAAAGTGAAAAGAGATGTACGAGGGCTCAAGAAAAGCCCCGAACATCTTTAGGCCTGAATGATTCATGCGTCGGAGCGAAATCAATTTGTACACGTTCCGTTGGCAGTCGCTAGTTTCCCCAGAATTCCATAAAACCCCGAACCGGGAACAGGGTATTATTTTGACACGTCGCCTTGAACGAGGGCCGTTAACATTTTAAGCACGCCTGGATGGCCGAAGGA